AGTTATTACTTCTCCACACATCCATATCAGCACTTACTTGTAATCTATAGGTTCTGGGTTCGAATCCCGCCTAAACGATGTTCTTACAGTGAAGGGAGACATCGTGATGCAACCTATACATATCTCCTGAACAAAGATATGTGTGACGTCAACCCGCAGTGGGCCAGCGTGGTTGACTACGGACAAGTCATTTCTAACTTAGGGTAGGCTTCGAGCAGATCAGTGGGGACATTTAGTGAGCTGATGATGCAGATTTTTTTAGCTTTAGCATTGCCAACAACAAACGATATTGTTTATTATTTGGATCATATATCTAGTATCCTTCGTGACATTTTAGAAAGGGCAGGTTATACAACAAAGGGTAAAGGACAATACAAACAGCTACATTTTATTTGTGTTCCACTAATAGGCCGCAAAATGTCAGATGTGGACATAAAACGTCGAATACAATTTTAGTAAAACTTTCGCATGTTTGTGACTATAAACGTGGGTTTACACACATTTATATACTCTACAAAGAAAAGTTGATCGTCTTTCGAGAGATATTTCTGTTTGGATATTTCAGTGGAAGCCCACTGCAATAAATTAAGTATAGTTAAGTGGGAATGTAAGCACCCGCCTACATAATAATTATTTATTCATTATGCTAAAATAAGCAATAACTTCAACTATACTTAAACCACTTGTTTTAAAATAAAAAGGTAAAACTAATATAATAATAACTCGATTTGTTATTTAAAAAATCAAAAAACAAATGATTGGAACTAATAGCATCAGTTATTTCCATATAAACCATGAGTTTCAGTTCTAATCATTCATCATTATCTTTGACAAAACAGAGTTGACAATATGTTTTAAACGGATATTTTGGTCTCAGAAATCCACGGTTAGTATGACAGGAAGCCTTCAAGATTAGGCATCTAGTCAAACGCGTAACATGTTTAAGCCATATTACCTCATTAACGTCAAGTAGGATTATGGTTTAGTGCTGGTTTATTCATCGTCAAAAAGTTTTATTGTCTGACATTGTCAGATTAGAAATCTAAGGGCAACTCGTTGTCAAAACAATTCTTAGCGTGGTTTTCTGACACCAAAATATCTGTATATAACATATCTTCATCCCTGTCATTATCTTAGACAACATAGAGATAACAACATGTTTTAAAAAGATATTTTGGTCCGAAACCCACGGTTACATATATAAACTCATGTATAAAAACATACTATTGTCAGCCGGGTATAAATGTAACATTTTAACGACATCGCTCTCGCAATTATGATGCTTACGAAAATATACAATAGCCGTTACTGTGATCCTAAAGTGACAATAAACCAAAAGTTGTATAAAAAAGTGGCGTAGTGTCGCGAGGGCAATGGAGTCGGTTCGCACCTGTCTCCGTATGCTAATGCCTCGGATTTATACCACGTGCAGAGCGGGACTGGATATAAACTGGAATTTATTTAGTAATATACCTAGATTCGCTGGTAATTTACGTTATCTTTTTAACCATTTAAAATATCAGATGGAATTGAAACTGTACGCAATTGTAAGAAAAGAAATTTTTCAATGTTAACTTAATTAGTAGCCTATTTATTCTTCTAAACTATGTTCTACATCTACAATACCTTCTAACAATTATTTATCCATCTATCAAAACATTCGAATTTATAATATTAGTAAGATAACAAAGGTAAACGCTAGCAACAATATTTGTTGCAAGAATGGACCGGATGGATATGGAACCTTATGCATGTGAAACCACGGACAATTATAATGTAAAGTATATATATATATGTATTATCATCATCAACCTGCCCTTATCCCTATCGAGGGTCGGCACAGTATGTACTACTCCTCCATACATCTCTATCAGCCGTCATATCCGAGTCTACCCCCTTCTTACGCATATCCTCTTTCACACAGTCATTCCATACTTTTTTTGGTCTTCCCCTACCCTTGTAGCTATCCACATTCAATCTCATTACTTTTTTGCCTATATCATCACCATCCCTTCACATAACATGTCCAAACCACGCTAATCTTTTACTCCTCAATTTCTCGATCACTGGCGATTTATATAAAAATTAAAATTCGATGCGAATAAAAGTCACGATACAAACACTAGTATCACAAAGTCACTAAAGTGTTAAAGTTTAGTGAATTATTGGTAACCGTAGTCGTAATTTCCAGAACAGTTTTAAAGCTTTGACTTCAAACACATCGTGTAGTTAGAAAATAAAATAGTTATTTTAACTTTAAGCGACTATAAAAATACTGCAACATTTGATAAAGTACATGAAAAAATTCAAATATAAAATTTTACGTGACGTTTTAAATGAAAACATTGTGTTGACGTATGCTTTGATAAAACTTTTTAATTCAATATGCATAACGTGGTGAAAATAATTATACAAAAATTAATATTGCATTTTTAACTTTCTCTTTTTGTACAGATTTATAAAAATCGTAGCAGTTAAAAATTTACATAACAGAAATATTCGAATAAAATATATTTTGAACGTTTTTGTTCAAAACAAAACTACAGTAGTTCTATTTTATTTCATTGAATATATAAAGTAAATTAAAAATATTTAAAAAAACATATTTTTTCGTGTAGAAATCTTCCAATCTGCCTTCAAAGAGGAATAAAGGAAAATGTGGAATTTGATTCACTAAAACCTCTTAGGTGGCCAAACTCAGGTACCAATGTGTTTTTTATTTACATATGTACATTTATCCGACTTAAAGTGAAGGAAAACATCGTGACGCGCCGTGCCTAGTCATCCCTAACTTAGGATAGGCATCGAGCCCTAAGCGAGGACGTATAGGGAGCTTTTGATGATGATTTAATTCGAATTAGTTTAATAGGACTCTACTATGAATGTAACGGTAACTAACCGTGGGTATCTGAGTGCATCATCACCTTTCAAAACAAATCGTCACCTCTGTGTTGTTAAAGATAATGACAAGGATAACAATATGTTTTATACCGAGGTTTTAGTGTACGAAACTCAGGGTAATTGAATTACTTCCATGGTTAATTATGAAACTCACCTTTTAGAGCCATACTGGGTAGAAAAACTAACGCTTGCAGCATTGTCCAAAAACAAGATTTTCCGGTCCTCATTCCGATTAATATTATAATACAATCACTCAAAACACTGCATTGTTAAAACATGAACACTAAACAGTACATCACTAATAAGTTAACTCCAATTTTAAGTTCAAATTATATCGACGAATCGCAATTATTACAACTACCGTCGAATCTAATTTCATAGTTGATCTAGGAAGAAGCGATAATTTTATATCCAAATAAGTTTGGGTATTCAATACAGTAATTACTTTGGCAAATTAAATTAACCAATTATTAAAAGAAATAAATTGCAACATATTTTTAATTTGAATCAATAAATTTAACCAATACATTATGAATATTGATTTCGCGAATGAATTAATCAGAATTAAACGATCTTTGCTTTTGTTTTTATTAAAAAGATTTTTATTCATAATTACAATTAAACATTTATTTAAATTTAGAATTATTTCCAAATCTATAAGAAATATTTTGCATATACCTTTTGAACAAATAATATTAGTAAATTATATATTTTCTCTTTGCTATATAAATAAAAATTTCTTCAAGAAAGGAAATACGACGTACAGAACGTAAGGATGTACGACGATCTGTTAACAAATCTAGTTATTTTCTCATCCTATATAGTCTAAAATGTTAATATTTCTATGTAGTATGGCTTCATACAATTAATCAAATTTGTATTGTCAACAACTATTGTATAATCTGGTTAAAAACAAAACTTAGACTCATGAAAGTATCTTCGATCACAAAACGAGATATATATTTCTCTATTTCTATATGCGTTTAGTAAATAATTTGCTTTGTTCTAATATGTTAGCTGAATTTGCATAAATTACACATGACTTTAATGAAACAAATTCTAAAGCCTTAATTATTCAGGTCCGGGGTATCTTTTACTATACCTTAAATTTACACATTTATATATCAAGGTATTTTATTACATTTCCACTGATATTTTTATTATTAATTCAAAATTGACACTACAAAGAAACGATATATAAAAAACTTATAAAATCTTGCAATTAAAAAATATAGTAATTACTGTATGAATTAAAGATTCACAGGATATTTTTCGATGATTTCATTCACAATGCTAACACTCACGAATGCCTCCTTCAAAATGGGAGACGTAGGTCCGACCCGTAGCGCGGTTCGTAGCACACTGGCCGGCGTAGAGACGTAACGCCGTATCCGTAGCACACAGGCAAACGCAGACGTCTACGTACCCCGTAGCATGAAAAGGTTACCGCTCAAACGTTTAAACCTTACGCCTTTTGCATGAATACGAATGTATTTTGTTTCCCTCCAACTGTGCTCTATTTCAAAAAAACAAAGGGTGTTTAGACTTTACAAAGGAGAATGTAACTTCTCTATTCTAAAGAAAGGTCTTGCTGGATGATTGTTCTTTCCCCTTTTTGTCAAGTTTTTTTTATATTTGTACAGCTTGCAACATTTAATACATCACGCAATTTTTTCTTATATTAGTCAAAGTTTGAAAAGTAAAACCTCATTGTATTCATTTAAAAAACAACGAAGATCTTTTTTTTATATCATAAGGCGGCAAACGAGCGAGCGGCCACCTGATATCGCTGAAATAGCGAAGCGACCGTTGCCCATAGACATACGCAATTGCATATACGTTGCCTAACTTTAATCGACGGAGAAGAGGATGTACAGAAAGAAAATATCTTACCTTTCCATGCATCCTCTCATCCGAAAAGTCCACTTCACTTCCC